TGATCTTCACATGTCTCTGGAAGTCAGCTTCCCATCTTTAAAATGGAGATAGTAATACTGATATTATTGAGTTGTCATTAGGATAAAATGAAACAACGTACAGAGCAGGCAACTCAGTTCGTGGCTCCGAACGAGTGCTCGGCAAATGTTAGTTCCCTCCCCTAGCCCAGTGCACTCTGCCCCTGTGACATGTTAAGATTTTTTTTTTTTTTTTTTGAGACAGAGAGAATGAGAGAGAGAGAGAGAGCACATGAGAGGGGGGAGGGTCAGAGGGAGAAGCAGACTCCCCGGAGAGAGAGAGAGAGAGTGCGGGACTCGATCCCGGGACTCCAGGATCATGACCTGAGCCGAAGGCAGTCGCTTAACCGACTGAGCCACCCAGGCGCCCTCCCTGTGACATGTTAGAATCCCACTGTGTGTTAGCTTTCCTTTAGTGTGGCCTGCCGTCAGCCCATTTTCAGATCAGCCAATAGAGCCATGACCGGCTGGGACCATTTTTCATCCAGCTGCTCTCGTTCTAGCAGTTTCATGTGGCCTCTCTCTGTAAATCAGTCTGGGAAAATAAATGTCCCCAATCCATTAGTGCCTTTCCATCACAAGCCAATTTGAGCCACAAACCAGACAAGGCTTGTTAATGGCTACTTAAATATATTTCTGCAGTCCAGTCTAGAGACCCTCAGCCTCAGATCCTCCTAGCTTCCATCCAAGAGATGTCTCACTGTGACAAGACTTCTGCAGCAAAGGTGTAGACCTGACCCTTAGCTGTTCAGGGGGACCATGTATGTACCCTAGTCTGCCTAGAACAGTTCTAGTCTGCTCCTGCTCCAGAGTAATTATTAATCAGTGCCCCTTTAACACCCCCAAAAGTTCCCCCTTTGAATGATATACTGTACATGGTAGTTACGGAAACCAAGAATAATAGTTTAAATAATAATAGCTATCATTTATTAACCACTTCCTATACGCCAGGCATCACCAAAAAGGTCTTTATACACTGGATCTCATTTCAGCGCCATTACAACACTGTAAAGGGAGGTGCTATTATCATTTCTATTTTATAGACCAGGAAACTGAAGTTTAGAGAAATAAGCAACATGTTCAAGGTCAGCCAGCATCGAGGGCGATATTTGTGCCTCACTCAGATCCCTTTTTCCTGGGCAGTACGCCCATCCCCCCACTGCTGGAAGTGCTGGTGGCTCCTGGCTCAATGTGGCACCCTAACCCTCATCCCTCTTCCAGAGGAATGGAGCTCAAACAGAAGCCACCTTTGCCTGAGAGGCTCCGTGCCCCCACTGCCCATACCCGACTGACGACGGGAATAGGGGGGGAAACGGGGGTGTGCGGGGGCACAAGGGCTTCCCCTATTGCTTCAAGGTCAGATTGACTCTATGGTACAATCCATGCTCCAGAACTCCTGGTGGGATCCAGGGGAGACAAAATGCTTGCTTGGCTCCTTCCTTGCCCTGCTCCCCTTGCTCCCATTCTCCTGAGAACACCCCTTCGATCCACCACTTACAAAAAACATCCCTGTCTCAGGCTCTGCCTCTAGGGGGCAAGACCCAAGACATATAGCTAGCAAGTGGCAGGGCTGGGACTCATGTCTAGGAAGGTCTCCCTTTTCATCATGGAGCAAATGTGTCATGACGTTGCCTATATTATAAACACGATTTCAATGACGGCCTCCAAGTTATCAAATTGTCAAGAAGTAAGTCATAGAGGTGTAGATTCAACAACACTGATGACAACAGTCCCAACAACTGTGTATTTAGTGCCAGTCCCTTTGTTGCATCTGATCCTCTCAGTGACATGGGGTTCATTGCATTATCTGCATTTTGCAGTTGAGGCATGGCAAGGAAGCTGAGACGTGTCTGTTGAGGTCACACAGATAGGAAGTGATGGGGCTCGCGTCTATGTCCAGATCCTTCTTCTTCCAAAGGCCACGTGCTTTTTCTGCATGGCCAATTAAATCGCTTGCTGTGTATATTGCTCAGTGAATGGTTGACTAAAGGGGTTCCCCAGCAAAGCTGACGCTCTTGTAACAAATTAGAAGACTCTGCAATCCCTCCCACCCTGCACTCTCCAAAGTGGTTCTTTTTGAGCTGCATTTGACCATCATGTCTCCATTTGGGGGAGAAAAGCCATATTACTCTGGGAATAGCCAGAGAATGTTCTCTTAAGTCACACATAAAAAGATCAAAGGAGCCATACTCATTGAAGAAAGGAAGGAAAGCAAGCTTGCATGCCAAATGTCCAGAGAGGTAAATCACATTTCCTGTGGCTCTTCCACAGAGGGAGACAAAATAGAATAAAAGGAAAACAGCAGAGCTTTACGGAGAGACAGGCCAAGACTCATATCCTAACTGTACTGGCTCTGAGATGTTCTTAGCAAATTACTCAACATCTCCAAGCCTCAATTTGCTCTACTGTAATACCTATCTCGTTGGACCATAAATGAGAGGGGGTAAATGAAATAAAATATGTATTTCCCTGTACCTCTTCTCTTCCATTTCCATAAAATGTATAGAGTAACCAACTTGGACCTTCATTCCAGGTCTGAATAATACTAGTTCAGACGGACTATGCTTTATTGCCAAGCAAACAGCATATCCTATTTGATGATAAAAGGTTTCCATTAAAAATAGAGAGCAGATAAAAGGGGGACCTTCATCCAGGAAGCCATCAGCTGATTCATAAAAATACAGAATGAGTCATCCTGGCTCCCAAGGCTAAACTTACAATCAGTGGGCATCTTTGTCCAGCCAATCCTAGCCCAGTGGAGGAGGAAACGCCGGGCAATCTTCACAAACCTACTTCAGCCCCCCCCCCCTTGCAAAACTGATTAACTCTGCTTTCAGTGTGGGGAGACAAAAATCAATCCCCCCCCCCCGCAATACTGGATCCCAAATGTTCCCCCATGCCTCTTTGGCTTTCTGAACAAATGGGGTGGGAAATCTGCAGTGATTCTACTGTGTGTGTGTGTGTGTGTGTGTGTACAGCTCCAAGAAAGAACAGGCTTGTGCATCTGGCTTTGAAAAGCAATCTCCTGGCTTTCATCTTGACATTTATTATTTCAAAATGCTTCAGTTCCTATCAGTATCTATGTAATTAGCATAAGACTAGAGAACCCAGACCTATTTGTATGGCAAGTGACGCTCTTTTCTTTAAAAAGTAGCTTCAACATTTTCACTCTCTGAACATACCCTGGATGGAGAGTCATAAATTATATACACCCACCCACCCCCCCACACACCCACGAAATATTTTTGATCTGTGGCTAAGCAAGGAAAATTATCAATATATAGTTTTAGTTTTACGAGGTAGATGTTCCTCCACCAGCAAGCGAAGAAAAATAAGGACTCAGCAGTCCTGGCTCAAGCGTCTTTTCTCACTCCATTCATTCAGCAATAACTGATTCCTTCAGCAGTAACTGATGTTGGACATAGTGTGTGCCAAGCACTATGCTGTGCTATGCTGGGCATCAGGGATTTGTTGGTGAAAAGGGCAGGCGCAAGCCCTGCCTTCTGGGATCAATCAGCTTGGTTCACAAGGGTTAACGAAATGGAACTGTACAGGATCCCCCAGTTTGCAAAAGCCTCTTCCCTTACGCTGAATTCCCAAGAGTCATGTTTAGAGGCAACTGTGACCTGCTACATGTGTGAGGAGTGAGTCAGAAACCAGCGCTTGCTTCTCTTACCAGCTGCCTTCCAGCCTGGCATGTGAATCCTGCACCTGCTCTCAAAGCAGCGAAGGGGAGGAGAATCTCCTTTGCATTTTTCTTGCCTCTGCATATGGTCGCAGAGTCCAGGTTTGGGGTCTAACCTAGGAACAGGTAAGCTGACTGCTCCTTTCCGGAGCCGCGTCTATTCCCTTTAAAACACAGACATGAGAAAGGGTAAGTCCATCTAACTGTGCCAAGAGCGGGCTCCCCTTGGGCGCTTCCCATGCTACTGCATAAAGAACTCAGAGTGTTGGGTCCAGTAAACCCCCTGGGGTGAGCCCTCCCTTCTAGAACTTCAGAGAAATGATCATATAGTGACAGCACACAGAGAGGCTTAAGCCCTCCAGAGCGAATCCCAGCTGGGTATAACTCTGAAGTTCCCCCAGGAGGAGTGGGGAATGGAAGGACACTCAGATTGCTGAGCTCCATTTGAGATGGGGGCAGGAGTTCTGAGAAGATTGCCGGTTGTTTGTTTTTCCACTTTGGAGAAGCACAGAAGACGCTAGTGGGGAAGAGGGAGCCTTGGCCTCACCCCTCACCAAGCTGAGATGCTCCAGGACCTAACCCCCTGCTTCCCAGTCCCTTTGTCCCTACCAGGGCACCAGAGGGGCAGAATGCAGCAGTGGGGAGAGAAAACGCGCTTCCCCAGCCCTGCACTCTGTCGCCAGCCCCAGCAGAACCGCAGCACAGAGGCTGAAAAGATCGAGTAGCAAATCCTGGCCAGGTCAATTAGTAGCTGCCACGAGATCTTGGGCAAATCACTGCCTGAGCCCGGGTCTTCTCACCTGAAACGGGAGATAATGATGGTACCTAACTCATCGGGTCCCAGGAAGTATTAAATAAGATCGCACACATAAAACTCTAAACACGAAGGCTGGTACACAGTAAGCCGACGGTTATTATTATTTTTTTTAACCGTGTTATCAAACTCCCTTTCCTGGCAGCTGAGCTGTCTACCCGACGGATTTTTTTTGCAGCGCAATCTTCCAGACCCCGGGTGCTGGGCGCCACCATCCACCGCGTTCCTCCCCTCGCAGGAGCTCACAGTCCCCTCCGGTCAACCCTAGATCCGGCTTGGCGAGGGCGAGGGCCACCTCGCAGCATCCTCCCCAGCGTCAGCCGGCCGCCGGCCGCGGGGAGGCTCTGAGACCCCGGAAAGGCGCGGAGGGGACGCCCACGGCCGCCCTTCCGCGCGCAGCGGCCCCGCCAAGGCTCCGCCACCCCCGCCCCGGGAGCGCGGAGCGCGCAAAGAAAGAAAGCGAGAAAGACGCGGATACTGGACCAGGCTTTGACGCGGATCTTGAGCTCGCCGTCCTGCGGCTCGGGCATGGCCTTCCTGGTGACCCGCAGCTTGTTGAGCCCCCCGAAGCCGGCCAGCACCACAGCGCGCATCTCCTGGGCGTCCCCGAGGCGGTGAGAGCCGCCGCCGCCGCCCTCAGCGGGCTCCTTGCCTGCCTCCTTCTCGATCATTTGCTCCGTCTCCTCCGCCTTCTCTACGCCTTCCTTGGCCATGGCACACTGGGGCGCGGGGCGCACGGGCTGCGGCGGCTGCGGCGCGGGGGGCTCAGGCTCCTCTCCCGCGGGTTCCTCCTGTTGAATGTGGGATGCTCGGCTGTGCAATGGCTGCAGCCTCCGCGAGCCGCGCCAAGGTCCACAGCCTCCGCCGTAATCCTCGCAAGAGCCGCGCCCCCGCCCGCCCCGCCCCTCCTGCTCCCTGCCTCTCTTCCCTGCCCGAGCGGAGCCTTGCCTCCAACTCCAGAGCCAGTCTCAAATCGGGCTCTTGATCGCAGCCCCAGAACCCAGACTTGCCCAGGACTCGTGGATAAAACACGCAGAGAGGACGCAGTGTCCTCCGCGGTGGGCGCAGTACTTTGTTATTTACGGCGCAGGCTGGGCGCCTTGAAATGGACAGAGACGAATGTCTGGGCCTGGAGGATGCCTCCCGGAGACGGGCTTGCCTCCTCTCCCGCTGATCTGCGGGGGCCAGCGGGGTAGACGGGAAAGGGGGCTGTTTCCTAAATTGCCGGTACCGGCTGGAAAGGGGAAGAGGTTCGGGAAGCGGGAAACGAGAAATCCCACTTACTCCCCTGAAGAGTCTAAACCAGGGTCTTTTCACTCCAGACCCTCGGGGTCAGGGCAGATGCTCTTTACCAAGCGTCACCAGGAGCCTCTTATGATGACTAAGTCTCCCCACCCGCACCATTTCTGGCCATCAAAGAGGCTTCAGAAAAGAGTTCTGTACCAGAAAATGGTCCTTTTTTTGTTTTGACGGCCAGAAGATCAGTTTTCACCCCCTCCCCAGCACACACACACAGACACACAGACACAGACACACACACACACACACACACACACCAGTAACTGGCTTTTTGAAAAGGAGCTTATAGAAAAACTTGGACTTTTTAGGGGCGCCTGGGTGGCTCAGTCAATGGCACCCCACCACCCAGGGAGGGCACAGGTGGAGGGAGATTGCCTTGTGGCTGTTTAAAGAAAGATTGTAGTGGGGGAGTGGTGGAGGTATATTCTAATTCCTGTGCAGCCACTGCCAGCTTTGGGACCTTGGGCAACTCACTCAACCTTTCTGATCCTCAACTCCCTCATCCATAAAATGGGTACATTACTTAGGGTTTTTTGCATTGTGCTAAGTGCTGGGGTGGATAGGACTTTCAGTGACAGCATGGTCCTTACCTTTAAGGAGCTTATTCTCAAGCATGAGGCAGGGAGGACACAGCCAACAAATATAAATGACACAATGAATGGAATGGTGTGAGTGCCTCTCCTTCCATTCTCCCCGTGCCTCTCTTCTATTCTTCAAAAATAGTATTGCGTTCCCTCCTACCCCCTGTGCCTGTAATGTATGTGCCACTTCCTTCATCTGGTGTTATCTTCTACTTCACTTTCAACTTAAGCACCCATTCCTTGTGTCCATGGGTTGGGTCTGCATCCTTTGTGGTAAAACTCTCATGGCAGTTTGTAATGAACTTTTGTATGATCACCTGATAATTCGTATCTGTTTCCTTTTTCCAACTGTGATCTTCATATGGGCAAGAGTGATTTCTGCTTTTATCCAGCATGGTTTCCCTGGGGCTTGGCACATGATTGGTACATAGTAGAAAATGCTCAGAAGAACCTTTTTTGAGTGAATGAATGAGCCAGTGAATCCACATGCTACTGTGGGAGCCCAGAGGAGGGAACTGGCTTGGGGAGTTGGAGAGGTCCTCATGGAGGTGAAGAAGTTTGAGCTAGACCTTGAATGATAAGCCAGGCTCCTCAGACAGGGAAGATCACAAGCACATTCAAACACATAGAAAGGGGACAGGTGGAAGGAGAAGACACTGTCTTGTTCCCTGTGGGCTGACCATCAGCTGTGGTTAGCAGTCACTGGAGACTAGGCTGAAAGGTTGGTTGGAACCAGCTTTGAGGTGTTTTACATATGACGTTATAAGATTTAAGACATAAATTATGGAGGCAATGGGTGCCACTGAAGTCTTAAAAACAAACAAACCAGGGAATAGCATTACTGTATTTTAGGATAGTAACTTTGGCAGTAAGTGGGTGGTGGATTAGATGGTAGACTTACTGGAAGTGTGGACATTGGTTAGAGACTATGGTGCAGATAGATATAAATAAACAAATAGATAAATAAGAAGAGCCTTAACTGAGGCAGTGGCTGTGGGATAGAAGAAGGGCTGGATAGGAAGCTGAATAGACAATGCTGGTTAGTGAATAGTGAACATGTCATTGTGAACCCAATTATCCAAGTTATGAAGTCTGTTCGCATTGTGAGATATAGTGTTTAGGCTGGATTCTATCCTGAAACAAGACTTTGAGTGCCAGCAATTTATTTTGGAGGTCATCCCAGGCAGCTCCCATCAGGAAGGAGGAAAGTGAGACAGGAAAGCCAGAGAAGCCAATCCAAGGCGCATGAATAAGCAGGTTAGCACAGGGACGAAGGGGACTCAAACCCACAAGACACCCTTGTGAAACAAGCCTCAGAGTTGTCCTACCCAAAAACAAGGAAATGGGTATTTCCCACTAAATTTTCTGCAAGACTGGCTAAGAGCTATTCCTGGAAGTATAACTCCTTGGCACTCCCCACCTGCCCCATTCACCTAGGCTGAGAGAATCCCCAGGCAGAGAACTTTGGATGCTTTCACTAGGAAGCCATTGTCTTGTAGAAGGGATGGTGAGTTCGAAGGGGATGTGGGTTTGCGGCTGACAACATCTACAATATAGGATATTGTTTTGGGGTATCTACTGCTCTGGACACTTCAGGCATGTTTTATAATGAGGTTCTCAGATTAACTTTATTAGGTAAGCATTATTCCACTTTATAGAAGAGGAAACTGGGTTTTGACATCAATGCTCTTAACATCTCATCAGGCACGTTTATTTGAAGGGGCCAAGCTGGTTCATCCCCTGAATGGTAATGCTCCATGGCATTGTTTATGTTCTCTGCTCATTTATTGGCCTCCTAATATCTCTGTCCCACCAAGATTCCTTGCCTTTATCCTGAGGGGCTTCCTTTAGCATCGGTAGAGTAAATCTACTTTGCAGTCAGCACATAGCATGTTTAAGAAAAAGCGTTTGCCTTATATGTTCAAGGAAATATAATTACTCCCTCCAAGGGAATCTTCTGGCTGTTTACAAACCCCGGATTATAATTGGTATGCAGCTGATTGTCACAACAACCCAAGAGGAAACACAACGCAGTCTGCACTGCTTCGGGAGGAAAGCCTTCCTCTGAGTCCTATATACCAGTATTTGGATTGTTAAGTATTCCCAAATCTGCTCCTCTCTGGTGGAATGTGGCAAGAGCCATGCTGCAAGGCACCTCTACAAATAAACACAATAAATCTATTTTCAATTTGTAAAATTGTTTTCTTGGGCATTCACTCACTGAGAACTTCAGTTGGGAAATAGCTTACATTGTAGGGTGATGTCAAACAGCAGCCGCCTCTGGTGGAACTCAGTATTACAGCTCAGCTCTATGTACTTACTTTCCGCCTGGGAACAACCGTATTTGCCTTTGAGAGGAGTGTAGACTCAAATTTAGGAATCCCTCAAGGCACTGGCCATCTGAGGGAGTGGCCAACAGAGCTGAGGTCTTTGAGTAAGAATATATGGGAAACAATCATAGTACAATTTTAGGAGTGGTTTTCTAAATAACTTGGAATGGTTCAGTAACCTTCCAGAGAAATATGTCACCTGGGGCAAGCAGTCAATGTCTTCAGCTATATCCTTTAATAATATTTATTCTCTTGGGGCACCTGGGTGGCTCAGTTGGTTAAGTGTCGGACTCTTGATTTCGGCTCAGGTCATGATCTTGGGGTCGTGGGATTGAGCCTCGTGTCAGCTCTGTGCTGGGCGTAGAGCCCGCTTGGGATCCTCTCTCCCTCTCCCTCTGCCCCTCCCCGTTCTCTCTCTCTCTCTCTCTTAAAAAAAAATGTTTAAAAAGATAATTTTTATTCTCTTGTATTTTCCTCAATACAAGTAGGATCATTTGTTATACATACATTATATTATTTAATCTACAAAATAATCCTGTGTCATAGGTACTATTATTCCTATCTTACATGGAAGGAAATTTAATAGAAACTGAATAACTTTCCCCAGGTCACCAACTTAGTCTGTGGCAGAGACAGGATTTAAAGTGGGAGCCATTTGAGTCTAAAATGTGGATACTTACCCACTATGCTATAATGTCTGTAGTTTCATATGCTGTTATAGTTTCAAAATGCCATAGAGTGGGTCAAAAGGAAGGAGACAAATTTAGAAGGTCAATGGTGAAGAAAGGTAGGAGATCCTGGCCATTGAAAACTCTTAGTAAAATCCAAGGGCGCATATGAAAGGATATGTGCCGTAATTTCCTATAGTTTGTGTTGGTGTAATTTAAAAAATAATGGAGCAAGATTGCCACGGGCACAGAATTATTTTCAGAGAAGTACTGGATAGGTGTGCAGCCCATCCTGAATGTGGTAGAGTAAGCTTCCTAATTATATCTCCTAGGACCAGTCATAGGCAGCTAACTCTAGATGTGTCAGAGGAGAGAAGAAAGTGAACTGACATTTATTCACCACCTTTTGAGTGCTGGCCCTGGGCTGTTGCTAATACTGCAGGTAGAATGGTGAATAAGACAAACATATTCATGATCCTAAAGGGGCAGCATTCCTCCCAGGGAGATACATATTGTTTGAGGTTGGGTTCCCCAGAAGCAAACATTTCTTCATTCAAATTTCTGAATGCAAATGACTTATTTGAGTGGTGGTTCCAGGAAATAGGGGTCTGTGGAAATGAGACCAAAAAGAGAAAGAAGTCAATGCAAGATGCATTATCTGGCAGGTTATCACTGTCATTGGCTCAGGTTAAATCCTGCTGGAGAACTCTAGATGGTAGCGTAAAACACACCTCAAAGGCATCCTAATCAGGAGGCAAGGTAAATGGAGTGCCTACCAGCTCTGGTCTAGGGCTCTTGGTGGGAGGCACTAACCATCTGCCCCTCTGTGGGGGGCTGTTTTGGAGTCAGTGGCTAGACCAAGCCATCCTGATAATTTGCAGGTGCTTCAACGTAAGGCTGCTGGATCATCGCATGTGGCAGGGAGGAGTTCCAAGAGGGTGTGGGTGGAG